CTTTTCCCAGTCTCCCCCAGTTTTGTTCAATAAAGACAGATTCCATTTTTTACCACAATTGTCCTTTATTTTGTACATCAAGAAAAGGGGCTAGGGAAAGGTAAGTGGAAGGAGGTGAGGTAGGAATGGGGTACGAGCCACCGATGGGGAGGACTGGGCTGGCTCTGCGGGCTTCTGGGGGTGGAAGCTCTCCTGCAGCCCCGAACAGACCCTTGGGGGACCCCACTAGTTACTTCTCTCCATTTGGAAAACTTACCATTTATTCCTACCCTTTGTTTCCTGTCTTTTAACCAGTTATCAGTCCATGAAAGGACCTTCCCTCTTATCCCATGACAATGTAATTTACACAAGAGCCTTTGGTGAGGGACCTTGTCAAAGGCTTTCTAGAAATCTATGTATACTATATCCACTGGATCCCCCATGTCCACATGTTTGTTAACCCTCTCAAAGAACTCTAGCAGATTAGTATGGCATGATTTCCCTTTACAGAAACCATGTTGACTTTCCCCCAACAGATTATTTTCATCTATGTGTCCGACAATTTTATTCTTTTCTATAGTTTCAACTAATTTGCCCAGTACTGATGTTAGATTTACCGGTCTGTAATTGCCAGGATAACCGCTAGAGCCCTTTTTAAATATTGGCATCACATTAGCTATCTTCCAATCATTAGGTACGGAAGCCAATTTAAAGGATAGGTTACAAAACACAGTTAATAGTTTAGCTAGAGCCCTTTTTAAATATTGGCATCACATTAGCTATCTTCCAATCATTAGGTACGGAAGCCAATTTAAAGGATAGGTTACAAACCACAGTTAATAGTTCAGCAATTTACCATTTGAGTTCTTTTAGAACTCTTGAGTGAATGCCATCTGGTCCCGATGATTTGTTACTGTTAAGTTTATCAATTTGTTCCACAGTTTCCTCTAATGACATCTCAATTTGGGACAATTTCTCAGATTTGTCACCTAAAAAAGAATGGCTCTGATTTGGGAAACTCCCAAATGTCCTCATCTGTGAAGACAGAAGCAAAGAATTCATTTAGCTTCTCTGCAATGACATCACAGTCTGATGCAATTCTCAAATAACAGCCTGCCTTTAGTGCCTCATGTCTTAGGGTAAATATTTAATCTAAAATAATCCATTTCTCATGCAGCTCTTAAAGGAAGGGCTTGGCCAAGATGCCCTGATAATTACAATGCCCTTTGCAAGGGGCAGAGACAATAGCAGGCTCTGCATCCAGGGGAGCAAAGGTCTGAGCAGCTTCCTACGTGTGCCCCAAGGATATGCTTTGTCCCTTAATTTCCTGAGACTCCATTTCCATCCCCTGTCTATGGAGAATGCTGTGGCTCACAATCTCATGTGTCACAAGCAATGTCACAGTTTGCAGCAGCAAAGGCACATAGTGTTGCCTTCTGAATCTTGGTGAACAACATTTTGTATTTGTTCTTATTCATTAGTTTAGTGTTTAGTTTAATGTTTAGTTTTTGACACTTTTATTTTAATAAAATTGAATCAAATGTGTCAATTTTTTGAGTAAATGTATGAAAACTTTTGAGATTACCGATTTATTTCTGAAATTTTCAGTACACAACTACATATTTAAACTCAAGGGGCACCAAAATACAAGTTCACCCAGGGTGGGATTTTCATTAAGGCTGGCCCTGGCCCAGAGGATTGGAGCATTGACTACATTTATGCAGATCCAGTTGTCTTAATATGCCACTCAGTTACAGGAAAGGAGCAGGAGTTATTCCAACTCATAAATCGCACTAGTAGCTGTAGAGTTGCAGCAGTGTAGCCTTGCTTACTGCTATAAAGGAAATTTGAATTATGCCCATAAACTCTGTATTTCATTTGCATAACACCCAATTAGTTGGGCTTTTTGTAGGTGAAGTGAATAGTATTATGGAATTTCCTACTTCTTGGGCTGAGGCACTGCCTATAAATGTATTCAGGTCTGGTAAATCATCTGCTTCAGATAGCACATTTGGTAGATTACAGGGTGCTTAATTTCAGTGTAATTGGCTTTAACATATTATGGATATAGAGCATAGAACTAAGTTTTACTCTTTATTCTGTCACTGACTTACTATGTGATCTTGAACAAGTCAATGAATGCCCTCAAGTTTCAATGCACTTTTGTAAAAATCAGTTAAGCAATCACAGATCCCTTTCTTTAAAATAGTTTCATATTGGTGCAAATTCTGCTATTTCATCAGTACATGATTGTTTCACATGTATCATCTGTATAAAGGGGAATCTGTTTTGTCTGAGGCTGGCTTTAGTCAAAAGTACTGCAATTTAAGGTTACTGCCATTTTGTTGAGTACTACAAGCTGAAATCACTCTGTATTTTGAGAACAGACTTTTGGATTTGAAAGAAGAAAACTCTTACAGATACTAATAGAAGATTTACCCAGTGTTGCTTGGGTATTTAACTCAAGTAATGTTTGCTTTTTGGAAAAGAAAATGTGCATTGCTGTGGGTGGGGCTGGGGATGAGGGGTTCAGTATGTAGGCTGCTCAGGCAAGAGAGGACAACCCCAGCCTTCTCTCTTCGCAGTCACTTGGGGCCAGGTGATTTCCCTTGTCCATGGCAGCTGCAGCTCCAGAGGGCACAGCTGCAGGAGGGGTGCATGTCCTCTGGATGGGGCAGGTTCAGTTTAATCTACCCCCTGCACTCCCCAGCCAGAGTGAGGAATACAGCAAACTATGCAGTTTCCTTTCACTTCCTGACAAAGGGGAACATCCAGCAATGTTTCGGTATGAATCGAGTGGGGGGGGGGAGGGGAATTGAGCCCTTGCCCAAAGAGTGCACGGGGGTAGGAGGCTTGGGGCTGTTCCTGGGGGGGGGGCACACTCCCAGTTAGCCCCCTTCTCCTGCCTGCTTTGATGGTTTTGTGTATGGTTTTATGCATCCTCTTACAAATGTGGTGGTGGTAAGGAGCTTTGTGGTCCCCATGGTGCCAGAGGAGGAAGGCTTGGGGCTTGGGCAGTTCCAGACAGGAGAAGCACCACCAGCCAGCCCCTTTTACCTGCCTGGTGATTCTGTCTCATTTCGTATGATTTTGAGAAATATCCCATTCTGGGCACAGATAGATAGACACACAGAAAAACTCTCTCAAATATATAGTAGATAGCTGTTCCCTTATCCACCACTGCCCCTGCTGCCCCAATGAGGTTATGGCTGTTCCCATCCCCATCTCTGGCCCCTTGCTGCTCCCCTGTGGTCATTTTACAGTATAACTGTCCCAGCTATCAGAGTCTCTCCCCCTTTCCATTTTATGAGAAACAATCACATTCCATGTACATCCTATTGTCTTGGAGCAACCAAACCCAGACCTTGCTTTAAGTTATGATGAGAAGAAGCTGCATACCAAATTTGGTGGTCCTAGCTCTTGATTAGGAGTTCTTGAACAGTCAGACACATACTCACAGACAGACAAACTCTCTCAAATATATAGTAGATTAAGTAACACCACCTTTTTAGCCTCAAAGTGGTATATATAAAGATATATGCAATAAAGGCATTATTTTTAAAACAGGCAATACAACCTGAATTGGAAAGGTGCATCATAACTAAATCAGTAGATCAAAGAGAGCTTTATCAACTAGATCTCAATATATCAAGTTTATTGTTCAGCCACCATCCACTTTTCAGCCGAGAACATGTGTTGGCTGCTAGATTGCTCCAATTTTATGAATGCTTTCAGAACAGACAACAGCAAAATACAACTCTCTTGCTTTCTGAAAAGGTACGACAATGCTTCATTTTTTTAATGTTCATAGTTTAAAAATTAAAAGATTCACAATTCGGAAGGGCAGGTTGTGTGTATGTGTGAATTGTTGGTGCAGCTGTCAGCTCCTGTCAGCCTCGTGGAGCCCATGGACAGCCACTATCAGCTTCCTCAGGGTTCGAGATGCCTAAAGCTTTCCATTCCATGACCCTGTTTTTAGTTTCTTATTACTTTGCCAAATTGAAATGGTTTGAGCTAAAATATTCTGTGCTGGGAAACTGCCTCAAGCTAGGGTGTTTTTGGAAGGGTGATAGGGAATGAAATTTCACAAAAATGGATTGACCATTTCTGAGAACAAGACTTGTGAAAAAAAAATCTAATGTTAAAATGTTTTTATAACTGTTTCAGTGAGAAATTAGGATGTCCAAACTTTGGATCAGGGTAGAGGTTACCCTGGATTCAGAAAGGTGCCTTTTGCTGTTTCTGTGAAAATCCACCTACATTTAGCCAAATGTATAAGCATCTGTAAATCACTGTGGGTATGTCTACACTACCCCGCTAGTTCGAACTAGCGGGGTAGTGTAGACATACCCTGTGTATGTGAGTATGCTCAGTAGAGTTTCATTAGAGGTAGGCAGTAAAATGTTCGCAAGATTTTATCTGCTTTGGATGTACTCCTGCCACAGGACACAGGGTAGGACTAGGATTCTTCTTGCGATTGCTTTTCACAGCCACTGGGGACCACTGTGATGTAGTGCTTGAGAGCCGGAATACTGTCTTCTCTGTACTCTCAGTTCTCCCCTTCCTAGAACCCAGGCTGAACAAAGAGAAGGGAAGATTCAGAAGGGTGAGAGATGATGTGGTGAACAGGGCAGAATAATGGGTAAAGATAGGGAGGGAGGAGAGAAGAGAGGTACAGTCTAAGGAAGGTATGCATCATTAGCTAGCAACATTTGTGTGTTTGTGGGAATAATTAAGAAACTACCCAATGTGTCTATACTTGTAGTTATTTTGCTGATAGTTTAGTTCAGTTTCCCAATAATCTAGGAAGTAAATATTCTCTGATTCAGATGCATATTCGATATTGTTTACTTAAATCTTAGAGCCAGATTGACTTCCATAACTATAGTGCTCACCATTCTGGCTAAGGAACTCACTGTCTGGACATATATGGTTTATTTTTATTAATAAACCTACCAAGCTAATTATACTACACTCATGTGGAAATTAGGGATGTTAACTATCATTTATTAGGTTAAAAGTGTGACTGCTGGAAATGTTAGTGGATACATGTTTACACCTGGGGCGGAAGGAGGGAAGGGGGGCAGGTGGAAGCCAGTGCTCAGGAGAAGCCAGCTTTTAAGATATTGCGATATGGCGAGCCCTGTGTATATGGGATATGCGATATGGCGAGCCCACACACACACACACACACACACACACACGCAGAGGGTTTGCCAAGTGGCGGCAAGCCCTGCTCACCAGCCGCGCAGTTTCACGCGGTTCTGCGTTCTGCGCATGCGCAGATTGCTCTGCGCCGGCTTTTCTGGGTTGTAATCTACTCGCCATGGGCCCTGTATATATATATATATAATACATCTTTGTGAGAGACCTGAATGTGATATTTTGGTTTCTCAGATAAATATTATGCATTTTATAGCTTTCTGTAGCACTAAAAATCAAATACAAAACTGTCAAAAGGATCTGAATTAACAACAGAAATCAGAAATAGTAAAGGTAAAGCTTCCATTTGATCTTTAATGGATTTTTTGTACCTTTTAGGTATGATTATATTTGGTATTTGATCAGCATAATAAAAATTAATTTTTAATTAATTTTGCCAAGTGCAGTAGGAACTTATTACTAATCTGCTGAAATGAATTTAACTTTTTCAAAACAATGTATGGTATTTTTATTACAGCTTAAAGCATTAATAAATGCAACAAAAGTAGTAGAAAATAGTTTGGAAGCAAGTCAACTGAGCAGGAAAACTTTAGATGACTACCAATTGCAAATAAGGTATCGTAATTGTTGAAAATAACCAATCATATTATAACTACATCATGCAATTGTCAATTCTGAGTTTTCTTTTGACAACTTATATCTCTGCTCCATAGAATTACAAAATAAACACCCATTTTTATTGGAGATGTGAATGAGTAGTTGCTCCCCCCCCCTTTGCTGCCTGTATCAGAAACAGGCAGCAATGTGGGGAGGAAAGAAGAGGGTGTATTTCAAAGGAGCAGCACCGCGTGGAGCCTGGGGCCAGACCCTGGGCTCCATGTGGCACTGCCACTTTGAAATGCCGCTTGCAACCCAGGATCGGTTGGAGAGTCCTCAAGCTGCACACGGTGTTTCAAAGTACCAGAGCTGCGTGAAGCCCGGGATCAGCTGGGGAATCCCCCACTGACCCAGGGCTCCGTGTGGCACTGTCTCTTTGAAATGCTGCAAGGAGCCTGATGTTGGGCTCTCCCCAACATTTCAAAATGGTAGCACCGCATGGACCTCGGGGTCAGCGGGGTACCTCTGCTGATCCCGGGCTCCATGGGATGCTTCTGCTTTGAAATGCTGCAAGGCACCTGATGCTGGGCTCCCTGTGACATTTTAAAGCGGCAGTGCTTCATGGAGCCCGGGGTCAGCGGCAGAGTCCCCAGCTGACCCTGGGCTCAATGCAGTGCTTTCAGCTTTGAAGTGTAGCAATAGCCCTGGGGTTGTTGCTACACTTCAAAAGGCGGAAGCACCCTACTGACTAATCAAATAGTCAATGCAAAATGCATCGACTATTTGATTAGTCAGTTACTCGAAATTTAATATCCCTAATTTTTATAATGTATACTATTGTCATATTACAATATTTTCTAAACATACAACTATTATATTTTTATGAGAACTGTGCCTACGCTTCTGGAATTGTTTTTAAATATTGATGGTAAAAAGGCTGCTGAAACAGATTTAGGAGTTATAATTGGTTTAATTTTAAGAAAATACATTTTTTCCACAGTCCCTGACCTTTATTTGATACATGTACAATTCCAGTACTTCACATTTTTTCCAGCATCTATTATGACTAATTTAACTTCTTTTCTCATAGAGAGACAGAAGTAAAAATATAACATTGTCACTTTTTTGCAGTAGCTGATGCATAGTAGCAGTTACAGGGCTGAAAGTCTCTACAATAGTGTATTTAATTTTTTTTATTATTCAGTAATAACAGCACTCTTACTACTGTACCTAGAGAAATACACAATACTTACTCCAAGAAACTTACATTTTACACAAACAGTACATATCAGATGCATATCATAAACACCAGATGAGGTGTCTGTGGAACAATATTGTCCTGTTAGAAGAGTCTCTTTCAAATAACTGGAAAGTATACACTTACTGGAAGCAAATGATATTATAAATGCAAATGTTAAAAGTGAATATAACAGAGTTGTTTGTATTTAACGTATTGTATCTATCTCATGTCACAGAAATTCTATTTATATATTAGATATTCTCTTTCTGTATGCAAGTAATCCTATTGAAGTATGTGGAATTGCTTGCATAAGTAAGGACAACAGGACTGACTGTTAAAGACTTAGCTGTACCTGTGATGCTTCTCTAGCTCTCTAGCTAACAAGCCTCCATAGGAATCTTTATTGATTATATTGTTTAATAATACAGGAATTTAGGGGGGTTAGATTTTTTTTCTACAGTTTGCATAGTGAAAAGACTTACATGCCCACCAAATGATGAGAAGCAAAAGGAGTATGGGCCCAATGTGCAAAGTACTTGGATCCATATCAGAACCTTCCCAGGATTTATGGGAAATTTGGTTATAGAGTTTTGGGTGCCATCTCTAAACAAAAATTGTAGATTTTTATACAGAGGTCATTAGGCAGAAAGTAATACCATGACAAAACAATCTTAGACTTCTAATCTCCTGTGTAGCTCCCAAGATACTAAGCAAGGAAGTCTTATAGTTTAATAAATTTCTGCTTGAATGTCTACAAATCAAAATCTCAGGGTACATTTGTACAGTCCTCGCCTCAGTTATCATGGGTCACTGATAGAATTTACGGAACAAATGTAGATAGTAAGATGTGAGTTCTCATTTTATTCCCATATAAACTAGTCACCATGTCAGACTTTTTGTCTGATTTGTAGATTGAATATTGTTGTTTTAGAAAACCTGCTTACTGTTCTTGCATATTTTTCTTCCCTTTCCCATTTAAAGCAGTCAGATGATCAAATTCACATTGCTATATTTGAAAAATATCTGCTAATATACATGCCCAAGAATTAATGAAACATGAATATGCAGATCTTAATAAACTATTTCTATAAAGTTTATAAATGCAATAAAGTATTTTAAAAATTTCTATACTATTTAAAACTTGAAGTTTGGCAATATCATTATAGGCCCCAATAAAATTGTTACTATCTGATTTTATCATCAAAGAATTAGATTGTGTTTTGTTGTATACCTTTATTGCAGAGATACAAAGAAAATGTATGACCTAGAACATCAAAAAGACATTTCCTTAATACATAGTATGTTAAAAGTTTGGAAACAAATAAAATCTGTACGTAGACAACAACAATATACAAGTACACCAGTAAAATTACAGTTTCAAAAGTAAGTCAGTATGATGTCCTTTCAAAGTGTCTTTGAAATGTCTTTAACTCTGTGTAAAGGAGTTGTATTCAAATAACCAATTAAAGATAGTATGCATCTGTGTCACATATTATAGAGATTTTGTTTTGTATATTTTAAGTACTATTTTTTTCAAAAATATATAAATATTAATATTGGTAATGCAAGGAATAGAAAAGTTTAGCTATTAAGGGTTGAACTTTTCTAATCTAGCACCCTTGGGGACCTGACTGGTGCCGAACCTGAAAATTTGCTGAACCATAGGAGGCAATATTGTCTAGCAGCATTACAAACACTTCAACTGATTACTGGACTCTTAGAAGACATTTAGGGGTAAATGACAGCACAGAACACTGAGACTGGTGGCCATAAAACTTAATGGGGCTGCACAAAGCTTGGCTGCATGCATGATAAGTGGACATTTGAATAACTAAAACCATGCTGGACCATGGATGTTGCCAGACCAGAGAGTGCCGGATTAGAGAGGTTCAACCTGTAAATATCAAATTTTTGAACTAGAAGAGCAGTTGAGTAGTAGCATAAGATATTCAGTCAGTTCTGTCTGCTTTCTGGGTGCTCGACTGATTTATTCCATATATTAAGAGAAGAATCCCCTTCCAGCTAAGATGTAAGATTTGGAATTGTAAATTCTCAATACAATTTTTCAAAGGCACTTGTAAAAAATGTAGCTGGATGCAATATCTCGAACATCTTCATGGTGTTCGAAGGGGTCACGTGCTCTATTCCAGGTTTCTAAAGGCTGTTGCAGAGAGCTGTGTTGGCTTCCATTGATTTTCCTATATTGGCTTGAAGTTAGGTACTATCATTTGAACAGCACAGAGGCCTCCAGATGCATTAGATTCCTCTATGATATTCTGTTCTGAGCCAAATCTGGCACATTTAGGGCTAGAATGCCTGTGAGGGACAGGTATCAGGTGACACTGCTTAGTGATTGCATTTTAGGTCTTCCAGGGTGTGGGAAGGAAGACGCATATCTTTTCCATCCTGCTTTCATTGTGTCAAAGTTGAAAATTGATTCTCATAGTGAAATTGGTAGGCATTCAAAGTAGATGATTACCACATTAAAGAGAGTTGGGTGACTATTGGAGGGAGTGGGACCTGTTTAGTTAGAATTAGATTTCTTGGGTTTGAGGGGAGGACTCTAACCTTAGGTTCTCTAGGTGAGATTTCTCACAATTTGATTATAGTGCTGTTGTGCTATGTAGATGGCCCCTCACTCTAGATGCCCTTCTCTAGCACGACTAATACTGTATTTTCTGTGTACTGATATTTCAGTAACTGAAATTGACATTTTTTTAAAATATGTAGTAAGTTTCATTGATCAAAACTGCATATGTTCCATAACTAGGTTTATATGGAGTACAGTTTTGGAAAAGGACGTATTTGGTGAATGTAGTGTATGTACTGATTAGGAATGTTAATTTGTACTCAGATACATGGTTAACCGATAAGCTTTGGCTCATCGGTTAATCTGCACAGTTACATGACTCCCCCCACCCTCCTTATCAGAGGTAGTGTGGGAGATGGGAGTCAGATTTCAAGATGGTTCCTTGCACATACCTGCTCTTGCAGAGCTCCCTGCCTCCGTGCTGCTGCCTTTGATACAGAGGCAGCAGCGCGGAGGGGGAAGGGCAGGCGGGAGCGTACCAGCTTCTGTGAAGGTGCCTGCTCCCCACTCTGCTGCCTCTGTTTCAAAGGCAGCAGCCAGATGGAGAAGGGAGGGCCAGGTGGGAACCGGTGCGCACCATGAGCACCAGCTCCTGCCTGCCCCCCGTATGTAAACGTGTAACCACTGAATAATAAATATTTGTTTATGTCCCTAGTGCTGATAGTGTTCTTTTTAGAGCAATGCTTTTCTAGCTGTCCTATAAATTAGGGTCAGTTAAGGTACTGCCTGAAATTTTAATTGATTTTTTTCCAATCGGTCTGTATAAATTTCCTATTGTATGTTTTGTAATTCTGTTATTGTTTCATTATTAATTATTATTATTATGAACATTGGTTTTTTAGAAGTTCAAATACAAATATTGAGCATCAGTGTCTTGAGAAAAGATTAACAAAACAAAAAGTATGGGTTTTGCACTTGATGTATATATCCTTCTCTGTAAACATTCCAACTAAAGCAATCAGTTTAAAAAAGGTGTCCATTTTTAATTTATAATCTTGTTGGTATCTTCCACAGACTTCAAACTCTGGTGTATTATAAGGTAGCACTTTTTGAAGTACTTGTTCCACATTGGAAGATTATAGTATGTGATCTAACAACTGTCACTACATTTTTCTAATTATAATATTTAAATGTTTTGTATCCATGCTTGAAGAAGGCTGACAAAGAAAAATGATGAGGATAAATGTAAGGCAGAATTAGCACAAGATGCTGAAAAAGAGAGACAACTAGAGGCAGAAGATAATATTGATGATCATGACAATATTTCAGGGACCTGGGGAAAACAAAAGGTATTTACATTTATGAGAGGTTTTAAAATAATAAATACAATGTGCCTGATTCTTTTCACATTAGAGCTAAAGAGAGTTTTGTATCTCCTTTTTATGGCAGCTCCTTGATTTATTAAATAAAGCAATTACTTTAGAATTGTGGAAATTAAGATGAAGCTGTAAATGTCCTAGATCGTATAAAAATCTAGGCTTAGTTTCTCAAAGGGGCCAAAGGAAGTTAGCCATATTTTATAGACACCTTATGATAAACAATTTGAATGTAGGAAATTAATGTTTGTGCTAAAAAGATATGTTATAAACAGTTATCTGGTTTTTAGGGATGTCTGGATTCAATTCCTCCATTGGCAAGTTCAACACAACTTTTTCACACCACATCTGACTTTGAACCTTTTTTCATACCACATCTGACTTTGACTGCAGAAATAACAGCAATGTCCAAGTGTCCCATGTAAGTTGTAATTATTAAATTGCAACATGTTTCTTTCTCTCTTAAGGTAGAATTATGATGATATATATTGTTTTAATTTCACATATCCTTAGCAATTAGTGTATCATAATATTAAAGTAAATAGTTTCAAAATAATTTAAATTAAAAAAAAATAGGCATTTACTTTTTTAAACAAACAAACAAACAAACAAACAAACAAACAAACAAACAAACCTAATATTCAAATAAAGTTTAACATATTGATGCCAAAATTCTGCAAGGATTGATACACATGCATAATCTGTTGCAATGTGAAATCAGAGGGCTAGCTCACAGATTGTAAAGCTGAGCACATAGAGCTTTACAGAAATGAAGGCTAAATGTCTCTATGATGTGCTCAATTATTCTTTGACAGCTAAAGTGAACGATTTGTATTCCCTGGAAACTAACCAATATGCTAAGCATTTGTGTTTCTGTGATTCTATGGTAACTATTGCAATTAGTTACCAATTTGTTACTCTGAGTTTGATGATCTAGAATTAGTAAAATTTGTATCCTGTTTGGTAATTAATAGGCACGAACAGAAGAGAAGAGCCAAAGTTCAGAAGCAACAATATTTTATTAAAATATTTTACAATGAAAAACAAGTCTCTTGCACTTCAGTAGTTCCCCTACAGCTGGATTTTAGAGTAACGTTTCAGCAAATGTTTAGTATTCAGTTATTAAACTGGCCTGACTCTCTTCGTTTGGAGGTATGGTAATATAATTTACTTTTGTATTTAATTTCTGTGCTATGTTCAGGTATAATCCCTAACTCACATTAATAGCCATGGGAAGATTCGTGTTGATAGGTAGCTAGATGACAATTAGCCTGACATCGGTCCTGGGCAAGCATGACTAATATCAGGTTTCAGTCACCAAAGAGTGAAAGGATAGGAATATAATTACTGTTCATCATTATGGTTCCTCCCGATACTCCGGCATATCTGATAATCCAGCACCCTCTGGGTCCCAAGGGTGCTGGATTATTGGAAGTCTACTGTATATCAATTAACCATTGCAACAAACTATCAAGGGAATTGGGAGATATTCTATGTGTTGATATCTTCATATCAAGACTGGATGCCTTTCTGGAACATAATTTTTAGTTAAATACAAGTTATTGGACTCAGTGCAGAGGTAGAAACGGCTTGTGTTACATCAGAGAGCAGACTAAATGATCTAGTAGTCCTGTTTGGCCTTACAACTCAATTATTTAATGTAAATTGAATTGACCCTTTAATGTTTGCATTTTTTGTTATTCTAGTTTCTTTATAAATTTAGCATACAAAATACTGGACCAATTTTTCAAATATAGCTGGCCAAGTTGCAGTCACAGAATATATGTATGCTTATACAAACAGGCTATTCTTTGACAGGAACATTGGCTCAGTGGTTAGGATGCTAAGATGGTGAGATTCAGGTTCAGTTCACTCCATTGCCATAGGTTTACTATGTGATGTTAGACATGAGACATATAGTCTCTCTCTGGGCATATCTATACTAGGAAATTCTTTTAAAATAACTTATTTAGAAACAATAAGGGTATGTCTACACTACAGCGCTAATTCGAACTAACTTAGTTCGAATTAGTTAATTCGAACTAAGCTAATTCGAACTAACGCATCTAGAACTAAAAACTAGTTCGAATTAGCATTTTGCTAATTCGAACTAGCGCGTCCACATTAAGTGGACCCTGAACCAGGCTTAAGGATGGCCGGAAGCAGTGCCGGCAGGGCATCAGAGAAGGACTTAGAGCGTGGAGATGCTGTCTCAGGCTAGCCGAGGGCTGTGCTTAAAGGGTCCCTACCCCTACCCCGGACAGACAGTTCTCAGGGTGCCCCGCTTGCAAAGCAGTCCTGGCTTGGATTGCCCTGAGTACCCACACTGGGCACATCACAGCATTCGGCCATCAGACCGGCTGCACTTGCCACAGGCTGCCATCTGGGGAGAGGAGGCAATTGGGGGGCTGCAGGAGAGCTTCCACCCCCAGAAGCCCGCAGAGCCAGCCCAGTCCTCCCCATCGGGGGCACATACTCCATTCCTCCCTCACCTCCTTCCACTTACCCTTCCCTAGCCCCTCTTCTTGATGTACAAAATAAAGGACACTTGTGTTCAAAAATGGAATCTGTCTTTATTGAACAAAACTAGGGGAGAC